AAATGCCTTGTGCCGAAAAAAATTGGTTGCCGATTCTAAATCCGGGTTGATTCGGGTTCCCCTAGTCAGAGAATTTCTGAAAAATGTTTATTTCCAGACTAGTCGATCGTCTCCACGTGCGTCACGAATCCAGTCTCGATTCCCCGTTACGATGAAGGCGTCATCGAAACTCTTTCCAAATCTGAGGTAATTTTTAGTAGACCTCTTTTATACTTTATGATTTTTTTCTAGCCGACCTCGATCGAATTGGGCATCGATCTACCGGGGGCCATGCGGAGATGTATTTCTCTGATTTCCGACCTGCTAAAAGTGTGTCTGCGCGAGTTGAAGCAGTCGGCTTGTCCAAATCAAGTTGAGCAACTCGAAAATCGTATTTGACACCGTCTATTTCAGAGCCAAAATCGAAGAAGACGCATATGGGTCGGAGGCGTTCAGAATTAGGGGCTCTATTTCCGTCACCGTGCTGGAGAGGAGGCTTCGATTGAAACGGTCAATTTTCGGCGCTGGACTGTTAATGGGGGGCCTCATGAAAACATAGTATTTTCATTTTCCCCCACGACTATAAAATAGCGCGATTTTCGTAGAACCTTTTAATAGAATTTGTTTTGCAATCTTGCTATGAAATTTTCAAGATGAATCGTCATTTAGCGCGAAATTGGCGGCTTTTTTGTGTAGAGAGTACGAATTACACCGTCCGTGGACAGTGCAGCGCGGCTAGGAGCGCCGCGTACCGAAAATCGGTGATTCCGGTCAAAAAATACAGAAAAAAACGGGTTTAAACACATTTATCAGGAAAATTGGATAATAAGGAGTTGTGGTCCACCTGTAAAGTCCATTTTTTTTGCAGTTCCTACCTCCCTGACCGCCAGCAGCGCCTCCTGCAGGACTGTGAATTTCTGCGGAATCTGCTGCGGATCAGCGAGACCCGCGACGCCTGCACCGTCCTCTCCAAGCTCAACTGGTTCTCCAAGGATAAAGAGGTGGGATTTGTGCCTGAAAATTTGATCAAGATCTGTATTTTTATAAGTTCGATTTTCAGAATCGCAAAATTCCGATAAAATTACAAATTCAGTGCACGCTAAATTATGAAAAAGATCGAAATTCTGACATTCTGGTGCACCAAATTCGACATTATCTGATTTTGAGAATCTGAAATTGCGCGCTTTGGAGAAATCGAGTTTCTGACACTTCGGGGTCATGAAATTGGAGATTCCAGTCGGCAATTGAACATTTTATGGCTGGCGGTTTCCTTTTTTTGTCCCTCATGAGCTTTTTTAGGAGTTGTTTGCCAAAAAATGGGATAAATTCCTTGATTTTCTAGGCCCTGGAGCACTCGTCCGGCTGGTTGTTCACCCCAACCGGAAATCGACTGATGGCCGTCAGCCAGGAGCTCGCTTCCGCAATGTCGCCGAGGCCAGAGTTTGCGGGTAGGTTTTGGGTTCTTTGCTGTTAGCGGGGGGGGCACACCTTTTCCGGTGATCCGTTCCGGCCCTATGACGAAATATAAACCATTTTTATCACCTTTTCCACAGTTTTTCGATATCAGCTCATAAAAATTATAAAAAAATTTAATTAGTGTGAAAAATGACCAAAAAAGGGATATGATTTTCGTTTTTCTGATTTTTTATAGCTTACTAACTAATAGAAACTATTCAAAACCCTAGAAAAATTAAGGGGTAGCGGCGGGAAAACAAAAATTAGTTTCCTCTGGCATTTATTTTACTTCTTTTTTCAGAACCCCCAAAATGGACGGCTCTCCAGGGTGTACTTGATGAAGTCCGCGAGCTCTACGTCTCTCCAGAAGAAGTCCCGCCCGGTGGTCAGTATTAATCAATTATCAAAAAGTCACTAGTTATTAAAAATGTTTTTTGTTGTTTTTTATTTGCTTTTCAGGCCCGTCGGTTGTGATCTTCGTGGCTGACGACGCCTCACAGCTACAACTGACGGATCTGTTGAAGAGGGGAATTGCTAGGACAAAGGTTGGTTGAGTGCCTCTCTCTGACACACAAACTCTCTCTCTCTCTCTCTCTCTCTCTCTTTCTCTGTCTCTCTCTCGGTCTCTCTGTCTGTCTGTCTGTCTGTCTCTCTCTCCCTCTCTCTGTCTCTCTCTTTCTGTCTGTCTCTCTCGGTCTCTCTCTCTGTCTGTCTCTCTCACTCTTTCACTCCCATTCCAGATGGACCTGAAGAAGTCGATCCGGACGGTGACTGGAGATCCAGATATCCATCCTCTATGGGATCCAGACCAAGTATTCCCCTTCTACACCAAAGAAATGGTAATTGTTATTTTTTGCCAAAAATGCTTTTATTCCACCGTAGGAAGAAACGGAGGGCTCGCGAAAAGACGTCGTCGGAAATATTCAGAAAAATCAGAAGGAGGCGACCAGGGCTGTCAAGAAAAGGTGATCTATTTTAAAGGAAAAGATCGACTACACGGTACAACGAATTACGCGGCGTACAAACTACAAGATTTTGCTCGTTTTTCTGGTCATCATTTAAAAGGAATTGTGCAGTCGAAATTACGGCTACAAAGTGCAAAAAATTTCGCGGAATCTTATAGAAAATTTTATTGATCCTATGACTAAATAAAACAACCATTTTTGGGAATTTTTTTGGTGATTTTGAAGCGCTTGGGAAGTCCTAGATCGGCTACGAAGTACAACAAATTGCGCGGAATCTTTTCGAAATATTTATTTAACGGATGGATGCGAATAAAAACAACAAATTTTTGGGGTCCTCGAGGGGTTTCGAAGGGTTTGGGAAGTCATAATTCTGCGACGAAGTACAACAAATTACGCGGGGCTGGTAGACACTTTTATTTGACTTATGGCTAGAGAAAAACAACAAATTTTTGGGTCATAGGGGATTTTAAAGGGGTTGGGAAGGCATAGATCGGCTACGAAGTACAGCAAATTACGGGCAACAGGGGAATTTGGTCGTTGTAGAGGGCCTTCCAAATAAAAAATCGACTAAAATGAAACAATTCAAGAATACAATTATTTTTTGCAGGAAAAAGGTCGCGGAGACGCTGGTCGGCATCAAGCAGCGCAATTTGGAACATTTCGGAATTATGCGCTACCGGCGGACCGTCGAGAAGGGGGTATCGGTTTTATTTGACAAAAATTACTTTCAATTTAAAGTATTTTCATTAATTATTGGAAATTTAATTTTTAAAGTTTAAACTTAATTAGACTAATTTTTAAAGCCGTGGTAGGGTAATTAGCATTTTGCCTTGTTGAGGGTGGTGAAGAATTCGAGCTGCAGATCCGCGTCCGAGGCGATTCCTGCAAAATTGCGGGGGTCTTTTAACCGGGGGTAATTGACTATTTTTCGTAGCTTTACGGGGCGTAATTGGTTGAATTAAATGGCGTAATCGGTAGAATTAAATGGCGTAATCGGTAGAATTAAATGGCGTAATGATTTGTATTATATTTTTCGGTAATTTGATTTTTTTGCTTTTCATTGGCCGTTTTTTTTGGGCGAATTAAATGGCGTAATCGATGAAATTAGATGGCGTAATCTATTTTCTGATGATTTTTTAAGCTTTTTTTTAGTTCTTTGGCTGCTAGATGGAATTTGGTTGCGTAATCGGCCATTAAAGAAAGTTTATGGCAAAAATGATAGCATTAAATGGCGTAATCGGTTATTTTTTGGGTATTTCGCGGAGATTTATTGATTTTAGCGCGTAATCGGGTAAATTTATGTGGCGTGATCAATTAGTTTCGAGTGAAAATTTTTGGATTTTTTGGGGTTTCTGTTATGCTAGGAATTTGGGTTCTGGACTCTTATCAGGGGGAAGCCACTTTCTGTTTTACACCTATGCCTACCTGTTCGTGATATATTAAGTATTTTTATAGCATTTCCAGTAGTTTTTGATTGCTAGAAAATTTTTAATTCTGAAAATTCGAAAATTTTGACTTGTTTGATCATTTTTCATACATTTTTTCTAGATTTGTATAGATAGCGTAACTGAATTAAGTGGCGTAAGCTATTATTTATGTTTTGTATTTTACGTTTTTCTGGTTACGATACCTGCGCAAGCGGCGATCAGCTTGGAGACGGCGGCGAATTGGCGCATGAAAGCGTTCGAAACGGGGGTACCCGCAGGGACCATTGGAGCCTTCAGGAGGAGGGATAGGATTGAGAGAACCTGAAAAAAATTGATTGAGAATTCCCTTCCAACCCAGTCGATTCCCCAAGAATCTCGGCACGTTGTTGCCTATTTTCCGTAAAAACTCTGCCGGCTGCCAGCTCAATTTGTCAAAGATTTTTGCAAGCGTTTCTAGCTAGATTCCCCAAGAATCTCTGCTAGCTACTGCTTATTTTGCGAAAAATCTCTCTGCTAGCTGCCCCGAATTCCTCAATAATTCCTGCTAGCTGTCCACTAAATTCCCTAAGAATCTCTGCTAGTTACTGCTCGTTTCCTCCACAACCTCTGCTAGCTTGCCCCTAAAATCCACAAGTATCTCTGTTAGTTACTGTTTATTTTTCGAAAGTATCTGCTAGCCGGCAACGAATTTCTCAAAGATCTCTGCTAGCCTGCACTGAATTTCCCTAAAGAGGCTCTGCTGGCCACCGCTAATTTCCTCAAAAATTGATGCTCATTGGCTTCTATATTTCCCAAAAAATCGCTGCTATCTACCGCCCTTTTTGCGATTTTTCCAATTGTACCGTACCTCGTTGAATTGCTCGTATCCTCGTCCATTGACGGAATATTGAATTCGGGTGGCCAGCTCGGTGAGGATGGCCAGGTCGTAGATCAACGGGGTGGCGAGCAGGGAATCCTGAAGAATTTCGTTCTTTTCTTCTCTAATTCTCTGTCTGCCTGTCCGTCTGTCTCTCTCTCTCTCTCTCTCTCTCACCTCGCATGTATTGTGAATGACAAATGTCTGGCGGCCTCCCATGAAAATCGAACACACATATTCGTCCATGGCTCGCTTCGAATCTCCGACAAATGGCACGTATCTGGAAGTTGTAGTTTGTAGCATTTTTCTCTTTTTCTCTACGTTTCTGTATCTTTCTCTCTCTGTGTCTCTCTCGCTCTCTCTCGCTCTCTCGCTTGCTTTTTAAAGGCAACCCTACTGGGAAGCCAAAAATCTACTTTTCTATAGTTTTTAGACTTCTATTCCCTTACTTGATAACAACAGTATGATCGGGCTTCTTGTTGTCCGGATACAAAATCTTATTCGAAGCCACCATATCGTCGACCACATTCGATTTCGTGATTTCTTTCGAGCGGAATTGGCGCGCCTAAAAAGTTACGGTTTTTGGATTTCCTGTAAGGATCTCTGCTTGTCTACCATTTTCCCCGAATGGTTTCTGCTAGTTGCCCCCATTCCTAAGATATCCCTGCTGATCTGCTCCCCGATTTTCCGCAAGGGGTTTCTGCTAGCCGGCCTCACATTTCCTTAAAAATCCCTGCTAGCCTGCCTCTATGCCTCAAAGGATTTTTGCTCGATTGCTCTAGTCTACGCGAATCCTTCGTCGCCTCCATGGCCCCCATTTTCCACAAAAAATCCCTGCTAAAGCGCCCTAACCAATAGCGCCATTTCCTCAAAGAACCTCTGCTGGTCGGCCCTAACCAGGTGAAACTCTCAAAACCTCTCTGCCCTCCCCCGTTAAGCAACCTTTACCCCTCTCTCCTGTTCCCACTCACCTCGGATAAATTCTTTCCATCATTATTCCCCAAATTGATTGTGGCGAGACGATACTCCTGGGGTCTCAACCCCGAAGGACAACAAGAAATCGACGAGGGCCTGATTTGAGCTTTGTCTGTCCGGGACTTGAAATCATCGCCTCCGGATGAAGACACACCATCTTTCCGGCTACCTCGACGATACCCGGGCAAAGGGTATTCTGTGGGGATCCATTGATATAGTGGGCACCCTCAGGATTGAGGCCACCGCGAAGATGTTCGGAGGGAGATACCTGCAAAATGTTTTTAGCGGAATACTGGGTGTCCCAAAAACGCCGCGCCTCGGCATTTTCCGTCTTCTATCGGATCGGGGCTACGGTTCAGTTTACCACCCCCCTCTCCAGCCCAGCTCCTCAGCCAATGGTCTTATTTATGCGCCGAGCATCTCAAAATGTTCCTGGTCTAAAACCTGTACAAAGTTGTTTACTTGCGCCAAAGATTGTTAGAAAATTTTTTACAAGATTTTTAAGTTGAAAATATTAGGTCGCAATAGTACATTGTACGCGTAGTTTCTAACTCAAATATTTTCTATTTCAGGTTTTTACTCAAACGTACTGTGGGCTTATTCTCAGAGCAAGAGCTAGATTTTGAGTACAATTGACAGCTCTGTAGGACGAAAAATAGCCGAGATACGAAACTCAGGACCTGCAAAAATTAACTAAAGAATACCCAGACTTATAACTGCTATAAAAATTTCTAACAATTTTGGTGTAAGAAAAACAACCTTTGTTATGGGTTTCTACCATGGCGAACGTTTTGAAATCTCGGCGCATTAATGGGGTTATGGCTGAGGAGCTGGGCTGGGAGCTGAACTCTAACCCGGATCGGCCCCATTTTTTGCCGGCGATGGGAACGCATAAAACTCTATGCAGCCGGATTTTCTAGCAAAATATTGTAAAACAAAAAAGTTATCGC